TATGCTATTGGTATGCAAAAAGGTTTTCCATTTCGTGTAAGTTATTAAAATTTTTAATTTTTTTTTATAAATAAATTTTTTACAAACTTTTTTTTACAAATAATAAATATTATTAATCCCTTATCATCTTCTAAATAGTCAATTCGCTTTTTTGGGTTTCTTTCTTCAGCGTTTTTTCTTTCAGCGTTTCTTTTTTCACTGATAATGATCCATTCATATAGCTGTTATTGTTGTTGTTACTGTTTTTGCTATATGCGACTAAACTTGATTTGATTCGACTAAACTGAACATTGTCGGTTTGACCTAGTTTTTTTTTCCCATCAGCAGTGTAGTGTAGTGTACAGTACAGTAGTGTTAAGTTGGGCGTTATTGGTTTCAGAATCAGTAAAAAAAAAAACCAAAGTGAACATCGAACAACAACAACATCCGATAGCATCTTGTTCGTTCATTTTCTTTCTGCTGCTTTCAATTCACTGCATTGAAATTTTCTTTTTTGCATCCCTTTTTTTTCGTTATCGTCGAGACAATACTGTCATCACATCATCATCGTTTCATTTCGTTAGTTTTGGTTTTTGGTTGTCTGCTTTATTTGATTTTTTTTTCTTTCATCATAATCATCATCATCATCTGTTTCTGCATCTGAAAGCTTTTTTTTTGGTTTCCGATTCTGGATTCTATCACGATTCTTTCAGGATTCTCTTTTTTTTTGTTGATAAAATGGATTCTGTATGTGTGTACCCTTTCAATCTCTAGTCTATAGTTATTCTTGGGGGGGGGGTGAAAAATAAAGTAGCAAAATTTTATATCTGTTTTGAACAACATTTTGAAAATGAATTTTTGCAAATTGATAATTTTTTTCGGGTTTTCTGGCTGAATCCCGGGCAAAATCGAAGGAAAAATTGAAGGAAAACCGAAGGAAAAACTGATAGTGATGACGATGATGGAAAAAAGATGGTAAAACAAAGGCAAAATGAAAAATGAAAAATGAAACAAAAAACAACAAAAACAAAATAAAAATTCAAACATGAAAAACAGAATCATCACTTTTGATGATGATTATGATTATGATGATACATGCTGCGAACATTGTATTTTTATTCTTGAAACACTGAATCCAATGAAGAAAAAGAAGAAGAAGAAACAAAGTAGGAATATTCTTCTATAAAATTATTATGATTATATAATTCAAACAACAACAACAACTGAAACAACAACAACAAGGCAACAACAACAACAAACGAAAAACAAAACAACAACAACAAGGCAACATGAATGTGTGATTTCAACCGAGTGAAATTGAATTTTTTTTTCCAAGTTTGAAAAATCTCAAAAAACAAAACAAAGAAAGAAAAAATTTATTCATTCATTTCGCATCATTTCGTTGTTTGTTTGTTTTTGCCATTTTTTGTTCTGTTTTGTTTTACTTAATGATTCGATGATTTATTGTTACTTGATTTTTT